ATGGCAACAGTGACGTGAGATGGTTCAGCGGGTCTTTTTAAAGGCGCTAACCCGATGCAGACCACTAAAACACGATTTTATTTCAAAATAAGCACTTCCTTTGCACAAATGTACTAACACTATGATGTTTCTGGACCACTATTTTAACAATCAACATCGGCTTGATAGTTGGCTTTAGTGTCCCTTTAAAAGATTAGCAGCTTCATTTATGAAAACATGAGAACATTATGCTTGGCATAACTTTGGCGCAGAATAGCGAAATCTAGCATGACACAGCAGGATTGGTGTTTTAGAGCAGCGCGGCACAATTGGCACAGCTATCACATCATGGTAAAAGAACCAGCTTAAATTGGAAGTAAGTAGGATTCAAGAACTTTTGTCAAGGCCCAAAGGCAGAAATATTCTACAGTAAAAACTCACTAACCCGGATCTCACGGGACCGGTGAAAATGTCCGAGTTAACTGGATTCCGCATTATCGAATGAACCATCGAAACAGGCAGAAAAACTGTCTGCCTCGTCATCGAAATTAGTGCTAGAAAGATCTTTTTCCAACCCATGTGATGGTGATGTGCACGCTCGCTGTCGCGAGAACTGATTCAGAACTCCGAGAGGACAGCGAGAGCTTTGGCAACTTTCTGCACAATGCGATGTCGCATCGACTCATCTTGAATCATCATTGGAACAGTGATTCCGATCCTCTTCAAGCACTTCCGATAATACAGTCGAACCTCGATATATCGAACAGCGCGGCGATCGCAAAATAGTTCCATATGTCCAGAATTCGATATAAAAAAATCAAGTAAAATATGTGTCACAAACTTGTGGAAAACAACCATTGAACTAATCATGGTGCAATAAGTACCATATATACTCGTGTAAGGGCTGCCCTCGTGTAAGGGACGACCTCTACTTTGGAGAGAAAAATTTCGAAAAAAAGGAATAGAAAAAAAATTCAAGAAGTCCCGCCATAAAGGTACAGTTAGTTCGATTGTGGCCAAATGGCACTTTCAGTTTTTCCACATCTGCCGTTGTGTTGGTGACGGACGGGGCGGCGCCATTTCTACTTTGTGTGGCGCATTGTTCGCATCGAGTCAACACATTTTTGTCGAATTGGTGTCTTTGAGTCAGTGCAGTTGAGGGACAATGTGTCGGCATTTGAGGTCCTTCACTGCAGGATTTCAACTGCGAGTAATTGAATATGCCGAGGAGCACGGCAAGCGCGAAGCTGGACGCAAGTACAATGTAGATGAGGAGCACGTGCATTATTTGATGAAGTAGAAAGATGCCCTCGCTGTTAGCTACCGGAGCCGAAAAGCCTTCCACTGGAAAAAGTGCAAATATCCAGAATGGGAAGGCGAACGTCTCAAATATATATCATCCAAACTCGAAGGGATAACTATGCTGTATCGACTGATATGATACGCGAGAAAGCTCTAAACATCGCTCGCCACATGGATATCCCTCAGACACAATTCGAGGCAAGTCGGGGATAGGCTATGCGGTTTATCAACTGCAACCAGCTCTCCATCCTCCGCTGAACGACGCTTTGTCAAAAGCTGCCAAGCGAGTACACAAGTAAAGTGATGAAATTCCATCGCTTCGTAAATGGTCTTTGGAGGGAGCACGAATATTACCTCTCTCAAATCGGCAATGCGGACCAGACTCCTGTGTGATTCGATGCGCCAGAGAGCACCACAGTGGACTTGAAAGGCGCGAAAAGTGTGACTGTGCACGACCGAAACAGAACGTTAAAGATGCACTGTGATGGTGTGCGTGACGGCAGATGGCAGGAAGCTTCCACCACACGTTGTGTTCAAGAGCAAGACTCGCCTGAAAGAAAAGTTCACTCGGGGCATCATTCAGCGTGCCCAAGAATAGGGTTTGAGGAACTTGTCGTGGACTGGGTGAAGACTGTCTGGGCAAACAAACCTGGAGGCCTGCTACAGTGGAAAGCCCTCCTTGTTCTGGACAGTTTTAGGGGCCACTTGACAGAACGCGTCAAGAATAGACTAGGCACGACTCATACAGACTAGGCCGTTATTTCTGGAGAACAAATGAGTCTGTTGCAGTTGCTCGACATGTGCATTAACCACCCATTAAAGCGGAATTTCACCACTGCTATTCGGAAGGAATGTGTTTCCGGTGATGAAGACAGTGAGAGCGAAATAGAATCTTAATAAAAACAATCCTGGCTAGTTATTCGTGACTCTTTCACTTTGCTACTGTTGTGAAAATGGTACAGACCTTTGATGAGCTGTCATCAGCGTGATTTGTGTAAGGGCACAACAAGCAATATTTCAAAAAAAAAAAAAAAAGTGCGGCCCTTACACGAGTACATACGGTACTCACTTGAGGATTCAAACAAATCATTTATTGCGTCGTCTTAAAATGCTGCCAAAGGGTAGCCTGCTTTTCGTTTGCAATGGCATGTTTGACAACTACGTCCTCAACGTAATCTAGGCGATCTACGAGTGATAAGCTGGTGCCATCAATAACTGCAGCGCACAAGGGCCAGAGCAGCTACGACCTCAGCTGATGTAGGGTGCGGGGCATCATCAGCGCATGCGGGATCCATCTCGGCTGCTCAGCAGCAACTTTGGCGACGATCTCCACATCCGTCAGCTTCACTGTTGTGCTAGTGCTGTTGTCACCTCCAACGAAGTCGTCGATGCACATGCTTTGCGGCTTGGCACCAACAAAGCTCTCCAGCTTGCTCCACGTTTCGGCTTGCGAGCCCTCTTCGTCTGCACATGCGAGCCCAGCTTCCTCCAATTCTTCCACTAATGCCTCGTCAGTACAGCCAGTGAAGCCCGCATGCTAAAAGCAGTTGGCTACCGTTGACTGCTTGACGTTGTCAACGACGCTTTCAGCATTTGGTTGGCGCCCAAAAGATCGATTTGGCACATCCAGAGCTTGAAAAGCAAAATTTCAATCAGCAGACGCTTGTAGATTGATTTAAATGTGCGAATAGTGCCTTGATCAAACGGTTGCAGCTTCGAAGTGGTGTTAGGCGGTAAATATACCACTTCGATGCTGCTCAGCTGGGCATCGGTGTAGTGTGCCGTGCAGTTCTCGACAATAAGGCCTACCTTCTTTTCTTGACGTTCCAGATTCGAATCCCGTGCCTTCAGCCACTTGACGAAAATATTGCTCGTCATCCACGACTGCTTATTCCAGGCACAAGACACCGGAATATTGGGGCAGTTCCGCATGCACCTTGAACTATGAAACTTACCAATTATAAGTGGCCGCAACTTCGTGCTTCCATTCATATTGGCAGCCAATAGGACCGTCACACGGTCCTTGCCTTGCTTGCCCCTGTGGTACTTGTCCCCGCTAGTGTCCAGCGTTTGTCGCGGAAGCATTTGCCAGAATAGGCCCGTCTCGCAGCGTTAAAGATCTGGTTCGGCTCATACTTTGCAAGAACTTTGGGCCACTCGTGAGCAAGCCACTTCTGAATTTCTTCTTCATTGGCGTCCTCACTCTCTCCCGACACAGTCTTCCCAACAATATCGAAGCGAGTCTTGAATCGTTGAAGCCAACCGCTGCTCGGACTGAAATTCTCGGCGCCGAAAATGAATGCAAAGTTCTGTGCCTTCTGTTGCATGATCGGTCACGATATAGGAATATTTCCGGCCCTTGCGTCTATAAACCACTTGTTAAGCGCCTTCTCAACATCTTCCTTCGAAGGCACTTTTGCGTACACACCGTGCGTCGGAGTTCTGACTCTTCTCGGCCATGGCCTTTATGTCACCTTTCTTTTTGAGCAGAGTACTCAACGTGCTCCTTGGTATGCCAAACTCTTCTGCGACGCTCGACTTTTTCTTAGCATTTGCAGCCATCATTACACACATCACGACGTGCGACAAGCCTAACTCTACACACACGAACACAACAGGGCTATGAGCACCCAAGCTAGTCCAACATGTGCAGTGTATCAACCTGTCGACGCTGCAAGAATGCGGCATGCGCACGCCTCTACGTTCTAAGTGGGGCTCTAAGTGGGGCTCTTGGTGCCATCGATGTGTGCAGTGGCCGTAAACGCCCATCGCACTGCCGCTAGTTTTGAGAGTGTTGCGGGAAAGCTTGCCGCCTGTCAACGGAGCGCGGGCGGTTTGGCGTGGCAGAGTTCGATATATCCATTATGCGTCAAACATCGTTCGAAATAAAATATTGAAAATGCATGCGATTTCCAACGTGATATAGGAACCGTTCGATATAGGCAATAATTCGATATATCCGTGTTCAATATATCGAGGTTCGATTGTATGTCATCATCAGTCAACAAACCAGCAACGGCCACACCATCATCAACGAGCACAAAAACAGCCTGAGAACGTAACAACGGTTTCTAGCGCCAGCTCCCCCAACAGCCGACTCATTTGATGTAGCCAAGCTGCACACGCTATGCATGAAGTGACAATGCAAAGAAATCAGCAGCGTAGGCATCGCGGGCAACTGGGTTAGCAGCAGCTGTGCAAACTGTCCTGTGCGGTGCCATGTGCGGCGCATTTCGCAGACACAGGATGCACCGGCGGCCCAAGCACTTCCGTCGGATGGTGACAAGTGCCACCTGGCCGCTTTCTCCCTCATTCATTATCATCATGATCATATTTTGCTGCTGTTCGTTCGGTTTCTCCAAGACCTCGGTTCTGCCGCCATAACCGACTGCATCATAACCGTTACTGTACAATCAACCTTTGAGTGCAAGATTAGCAAAAATATTATTTTAAAAAACAGTTTATCCATATACACTCAACAAACATTCATCTCGACTTTCCAAGTAACAAAAATGTTCATGTCTCATCAGCCCTCAACTTGAAGTGAGAACCACGATTTCATGGCAACTACAAAACAGGTGTTCTAAGTACATCCAGGTGATAACAATTCCGAGGACTACTATGTTACCACAGAAATATGAACATATATAAGGAAAACTACTGGGGTACATTGAGTTTCAGATAAAATGCTAAGCATCGGGCCGAATCACCCGACTCACCTGAAGACGTAGAAGCCTGGTTAAACATGGGGCACTCCCTGTCAGTGTTGATGTGACCCCAGTTGTGGCACTTAATGCATCGAACATTGCGCACAGGGATACCGAACGGCTGGTCACGAATCTCCTTGTTGTCCTTGGCAAAGCTGCAATGGTAAGGGAGGGAGAAGCTCAATAATACATCCTGGAAAGGGTATTGTGAAGACAGGCCTGGCTACCCATGCTACACATGCTACTCTAGACTGTTAACTGATATGACAAGAAACCCAGTGGCACGCACATTAGGTTTGTCAGAAACTAAGGTAGACTATGATAAATACATTTCCTTTCTTTCATTTTGTTGCTTATCTTGGCTCAAGCCCGATGGTATCCAAAAGCAGTCCATCATCCATGACACAAACTTAAAGGAGTATCGACACCAGAATAGTCTGAAAATTTTGTTTTTGTAAGCGCAAGGCCGTTTATTGGGGAACCCGATAGTGACCAGCACAACATAGCGTCTCCCAGTAATTTAGTATTAAAAAAAATTCCTTCAGCACATCTGACTATTTTGAAAACTGCTGCTAAGTGTTTGAGTATTTTGAAGACTGCCACTAAGTGGTTGAAAACCTTAGAGCAATGTATCGATCAGTAAACTACGACAGTACCAACACACAGAATACCAAGGTGATGATGCCAGCAAACAGGTTTACCACTTACATTTTGCATGCTCACGTCTCCTCAGCAGCACCAGTTCTTAAAATGTGTAGCTGCGTCTCTCGGCAATGAGACCACGTCGTTATCACTATTGTTATCGAATGAGCCTGACAAAGAGCACCCTGATGCAAGAAAGTGGAGGCGGAAAACCATTTTTGTTCTTGGTCATTTGCCATGGTACAATGAAATGCTTTCATACTACAGGCTGCTGTGGTGGTTTGGTGGTTACATTCTTTTAAAAGCGTCTAAGTAAGAGTAAAAATGTTTTGTTTTTTTTCTCGAGCGGTATCGGAGTTGCTGTACATTGTGGAGTCAGTATAATATTTCGACCTATAATCGAGGTTTCGAAGACATTACTTTTATACCATATTTTGCCAGGACCAAACTGATATTCGAGGTTGCAGATGATTGCAGATGATATTCGAGGTTGCAGATGATTAGTTGTTTCAGATGAAATTACCACCTCTCAATTAGCACTAGCACTTGTAATCAGAGCAATTAGCACTTGTAATCGGAGGAAAATGGCAGGCTTACTCTTCTCGTGGTGCATTGTACTTGCGCTGCCACTCGAACTTGAATTCAGGCTCATCATCTTCCTTCTGATGCTCTGAAAAAACAAAAGGGTGGCAGTTAAAAAAACATTTGAGGTTCTAATTGAAGCGCGAAGCAGTAATCGTGGCAGGAAGAGAAAACAATGTTGAAAACCACAATGTGCAGCAATATATAACTATGCAGCAACATTGTCGATTCCCTGCTGGTGCAGCTTCCAGTGCACTCGTGGTGACATAAGAGAGATAAAGTACATTGCTTTATCTGACAACACAGTTTTTAGGCAGAAATTTGGGCTACTTGGCGGTGATAACTAACCTTGGGCATATTAACAAGTACAAAGGCACGTAAACCTAAAGTATGCAAGATGACCAGCTGTTTATGTGCCCCTTATTTGTGTTACCATTCCTTGATGCTTAAGATGTCCAAAGATAATTTTGCCAATGCTTGGTGGTTTTGGAAAACTTTGGAGCACCGTATCGGCGAGGCAACAGACGGCAACAGTGTACTCAGCTAAATCATCACCTACCATGCATGAACCGCAATATTTTCCATGTATGTATCTGCGCTGTATGACTTAATTTCTAAAAAGGGTGCCCACATACTACAAGGCCACAAAACAATTTTTTGAACTTGGCTTCACTACGGGGCGCTGACACAAGGATGAGTCGTCAGTGTGCACAATAGATTTGGGTGACTGTACATTAACTCAGACAAGGCGTTGCAGGGCACCATTGACTCTCTATTAAAAAAAATGTTTATCAACCTGCTCAACTAAACCCTTAAGTGCTGCATATCAAGGCCTACACAGCATTCATCCTACATTATTGTAACATAGCCGCATCCTATATAGCACTCTGTCCCTTGGATGGTAATGAAACATACATTGGTAGGTTGGGACGACATGATGCAGCATGCAAGTCAAATGCTGCTGCCCAGAAGAAACAGCCCTAGGCTGGTGCCAGGGCTCGCTTGATGCTGGCTCGACGAGGAACCCCACTGGCAGTATTGCAGGCATTGCACATTGACAGTGCATGGGACGAAGCTGGCATGAAACTACCCATGTCTGACAGTGCCCCATAAAAGGATTAGGACTTGGATGTTAACAGTCTGATATGCGTTGACCAGCGTACACATCTTTGCTTAGCAAGAATGATTGAGCAAAAACAAGCAACAATGCCCGTACTGGACAGCAAAACACTGTTATTGGCTTTCTGCTTTGTCCACTGGCTATATTTCCACTTTGCTGTATGAGTTCTTGAAGCTAAACGAACCCCACATCACTCGTACTTGGGAAGCCTCTCCAACCCTTCACATTCCAGCTGTGAAAACATAATCTGCAAAAGCTGAATTTACATTACTCTGAGAAAACCTGTTCTTATTTTCATTAAGCCTTAGCAATATTATAAAATAAAAATGTCCGAATGGTGTATGGGTCTCATAATATATAATATATAATAATATATAATATTTATGCTCAAATAGAAAAGACGTATAATCAAAAAGCAACTTGGGCTGCTCAAGTGAGGAATTCCCACTTGAACCTTTTAAAGTAGTCTAATCTCCGAGATAATGTTGGCTGCCATTTTAACCACTGACAAAGTGCGAAAATTCGATTAATACATTGCACTATTCCAGCCTATTTCACCTTTGACATAAATGTGGTAATACATGGTTTCTTTGAGAAGACAGTTTTTTTTTTTTTTTTGCTATCGTATCATAAGCTCCCTTCCATTAATACTTTACTTAATGTGGTATTTGATCCAGAGCAGTACTATCTTAAACAGCTCACAAAAGAAAAATAAATAATGACTTTGTTAGTCCAAAGTAGACCATTCTGCTGCCCACTGATGACCACCACAATGCCCAAAAATGTCAGGCCTACCTCTTTTGACACCAGGTGGGGCTTCATACATGAAATTGAGCGACAGTTTTTCCTTGCTCTCCTTACTGACCATAGACCTGGAAAGAGGCAAAAAAAAAAAAAAAAACATCAACACAGATGAAACATGCAAACCCTGATGAAAATGCATTGAGAGGTTCTTAACGAGCTTCTGACTCGACGAGCACTTGGTGTCGACAATGCAGACTGTACTATATAAATAAATACCCTCACAGCTAATGCTCCAAGCCAAAAACCAAGAAAAGTGAAAGTGCAGTGTGTGACAACCATATAGAACTTTCATACTGTGCAATGAAAATTAAAAAAAATAGGTCTAAAAGTTTTATGTAGCATGGAACCAGGGGCTAGCAGAATGTTTTTACAGCAGACAACACTGCGAACAATGTCTACATTGGTTCTTTCATTAAACTAAGTGGCTGCAGTCTTGCATGGCATGCATGAAGGATAATTATAATAACCGGCATTTTACGCCCCAAAAGCACTATGTGATTTTCACAATATGATTTTGAGAGATGCCGCAGTAGGGCGCTCAAAAAATTTTGACCATCTGGTGTTCTTTACACGTGCACCGACATCGCACAGTACACAGGCCTCTACCATTTTACCTACACTGATGGTTCGAACCAGCGCTCGAACCGGTTCGAACCCGCGCTCTTTGGACCAACAGCCAAGCACTTTAGCCACTGAACACCTTGGCAGCCATGCATGAAGGAGAATTCATTTTTTGATCATGCGGATTGTGCTTCAGTGAAGACAAAATGCTAAACAATGATGATCTAATATATAAGAGTATAACAATGAATTTACCCCAAATACCTCAAATTTCAAATTACCCAATAGGCAACTGTTAATCCCATTCTGGGTATTGCTTAAGTGTCACTCAGTTTAGGCATGAAATAAAAAAAAACTACGCAAACCTGACACGGTGGCCTAGTGGTTATTGTGCTCGAATGCCCACTTGCAGGTCACAAGAGAGAATTCCAGCCACAGTGGCTGCATTTTCAATGGATGCAAAAATGGTTGAGGCCCATGTACTCAGATTTAGGGGTCCGTTAAAGAAACACAGGTGTTCAAAATTTCCGAATCATTCCACTACGGGGTTTCTCCTAGTGGTAATACTGTTTTAGGATGGTGAACCTGAACAGTTATTATTATGACACCAACCAAGCAAGGAGGGAAAAAACAGAGGCGGCAGGATGAGGGATTATCCTGTCACTAAGTCATATTTTGCTAAAGCATGGATCTCAAACTAAGTTTAGCTTAGCACGCTACAGCAAAAAAATTCAGTCTCCCACAAGGCCAAGGAAGTGAAGGTGGAAACAGAAGGGGGGGGGGGGGGGAGAGAAGTAGTGTGCGCGAAATGTTAGCTAAGGTTGCCATTTGGAAGAAAGCCTTTCCCATATCTCACATACAGATAGGGTTACCAGCTGTCCCTTGTTTCGCGGAACTGCACGGAATTTTCATGGCGCATCCAGAGTACCACACTGTCCCTGTGGGGACAGCTACATGTCCCGGATGTGTTCCAGACCATCGAGTTGGAAATTTCTTATGCGAGTCAATGCACACTTAACAACACTCGTCCTGCTATGGAACACCAGGCTTGCACATAAAAAAAAAATGGTGGCTGTGGGATGCTAAAGCCACTTTACCTGTACTTCCATGTGAAGTGCGATATCATTTGAGAGTACATTTTCTAGAAACCGGGAGTGTTGCGGGCACTGTTGCGTGTGCTATGTGGTCAGCTGAAGTGTCACTTCAGGAGGCCCTGACAATAATGAAAAAATTAATTTGTCTGGAAGATACTCCAATAAAGAAAACTGATGTCGCTGGCTGCGTTAGTGTATCCTCCCACGCCTCCATAACCAATAATCTTGTCTTGCAGCCCTAGATCATATGAACCAGTTATGAAGAAATTTCGCTACAGGTTCCCAGAAAACATGTTGATTCCGATCTTTAGACTGTCTGAAATCTGCACCTCAAATCTAGAAATAGAGAATTTTTGTGTCGTAGTTATGTTTTAGCATGCGGTGAGTGCATGCCACACCTCAAGAAGAAAGGGCTGAGTATCAGTCACACTTGCCGAGTTTGCAAGCATGCTCATTAAGAAAACTTTTTTTTAATGGGGGAAAACAGTGATTTATGGGCCGGGCCACTAGCCAAAGGTCCAGAGCAAGCAGTCCGCGGCCAATATGTTTTGAGAACCCTGTGCTAAGGCAATACAATTTGACATACAGTTAAATTTTTGACATGCAGCTAAACCCGAGTACGATGGGGTTCTTGCACTTAAATCCTACAACAAATGTGGCCACTTTGACAAAGAGCGAACCTCCATCACGACATCTAGCACTGAAGCACCTCAGACTCCAAGTTACCATGGCAGATGCACCAAACTGCTGCTTCAGAACTTTGTTCACCATCAAGTACTTTTATTTTTATTTGCTTAACGCTAGTGCTTGTTTTCAGCCGCTGATCATAGTGAACGGATCAGAACAACTTTACAGCTGTGCAGATCACTGCCAAGGTAAAGAAAACAAACGTGTATTTTAAATCGTATTTTTTAAAGGGCTAGTGCCGCATTAGCTGTAATGGAACTCGCTTTCTGGAAGCTATGAATCTGAGCACATGACCAAGCAATGCACGAATGGTGTTACCTGTTGTTATAAAGATCCTGTTCCTTCTCATACTGCAACTTCAGCTCCTCTTGCTTTCTTTTTTCATTCTCAGTCCTCTGTTCTGCCATCCATGTCTAAAACGATGCATAAAGTAAGCGTCAGGCAGTACACACCACACGAACATCCTGCAGAAGAGCGCTCGCAGAGAATGCGCGTAGGAGGGGGCACGCACAAATCTTGAATATTATGCCATTGAAACCCACTGTCGGGCCCATTTGTTTCATAAGCAGTGTTACACAATGTTGACATGCAGTACACTGCACATAGATGCGGGTGGCAAGAACAAAAAAAAAAAGCGGCAACGTAATTTTTGTTCTTAGACGACCCTTCACACGTCAAGATAGCGCCGACCGTACGTTGAACTTGGAATCGCATAATTTGTTGATACGCCTGGCAAAAAAAAAAAAAATTCAAACGGCCAATCCACATGACATGGTCTCGCACCGAAAACACGGGAACGATCACTGTCCGTCATGGTTAAGCCACGCAGGAATCGCTCGATGCTGTCGTCGAGATCGACAATTGGGCTTGCTGGAGTAAAAGTGAACGCAGGACAAATATGTCAGGAAGCAAACGGAATAAACGTAGGTCTACCGCCAGATTTCACCAATAAACGTGCATAACTAAGCAGTAAACAGAACCGGCGCACAGCGCCAAGGCTGCAAAGCAGCGGTCTGCACCACTGTGTATAGCAGCTAGCCGAGGCATTCCTCACCCTTTTGATGTTGTCCCTTGAGGCAGGATGAAATGGCTTTTTGCACATGTAGTTGTTGTATCCTTTACCCATTGTGACGGCTTTAAACTCACGAAGAATGCAATGTACACTCGCAACTTATCCACGCATATTCGACGCCATCAACGGGCAAGTTAAGAGGCGTGGACAAATGTAGAGCGTAGTAACGTGTTCGCTGATGATGATGGCGAAATGGCGCAGACGTTGGTGCAGAATGTTCGTATGCGCTTTTTACGCTAAGTTAGTTTAATTCCGGTGTCACGTGGAGCAATATTGCTTATCACAATTAAGCCCAATCATAATCAAGTTTCTCGACAGTTCTCAACTGCAGCTTACGTAAAGAAGCCAATCACAATAAAAAAAAAAAAATCGAGTCGTACATCAGGCCGGATTACGACAAATATACCACAAGGGACACTCATGGTAATTGTGCCAAATTGTGCAAACATTCGAAAAATTTCTACAATTTCGGTGCAGAATTCGGCAATGGGTTGATGATGGGGACGGGGTGAAGACATAGAGTTTCCTAAGGCAAAGATTTATGCCCCCTTCCTACACCCTCTTAGAGCAACTGTTGAGAGAGAAGGAAAGAAAAAAAAAATGAAATGACGGTGGCGAAGGAGAGGCAACTATATATATATATATATATATATATATATATATATATATATATATATATATATATATATATATATATATATATATTCGTTGCTGGGAGACTCGAGAGGTATCGCAGCCTGATGATCGGAACGTGTCGTGGGTTACTCATCGGGGTTGCCTCAGAATTCTTCCTGCTCTCGTTCATTTATCCGTCACCCTTCCTCCAATGACCAACGCTTAGACATACTCCTTGTGGTAAGCAGAAATAAGCGCCCCTTAGTATCAAGTGCTGGATTGGTAGCTCTTTCTTCATTAAAAAGTTGCAGAGGATCATAAATTTAACAGGTTCTTATGAGATTAGAACACGAAAGCGCTTCCTTCCTAGGTGAACAAAATAGCTTTTCCTATGATGATTGATATGTGTGGTCTTTTGACGTTCCAAAACCACCATATGAGTACGAGAAAAATTTGGTTGGGTTCTTACGGAATTTTGTGTAACTAGGCTATGCGAGATGACGATTTTCGTTCATTTGCAGGTTTGGCTCAATGACTTAGACTTAGAATAGATTAGGATATTGTAGGTAGCCGGCGGATCTAGCCTTGCCTAATTTGCAGGCAACTGCCCCGCCCGGTTTCCTCTTTGCTGAATGCATCGCATATCATTTTGTTTATTTGTTTTTTAACTAAGCACGAGCAGGCTCTTTAAAAAATCGTGCATAGTGCGACATAAGCCTGCATAAGCCGGCGGCCTCTGTGCTATTACATAGGCAGTATTGTGCCGGTATTCTATCTCGCTGCACCATACCCCAAACATAATTGTCACTTATCACCACATGCGATGTCTGATCATTATCCTTGGATCATGATTGGCAGCTACCCTCTCCGGCCCGGAGAATCAGCCAAGAGACGAATTGGGGTTATGCAGAAATTCGTTCCTGGGGGGGAATTCTGATCGAAAGTGGGGGCCGGTCAGGTAAACGGTCATTTTGTGTTACGTACAGGGCGACAAAAAATCGGGGCGGGGGGGGGGGGGAGGGGGAGGGCCTGGTGTGCTGGCCCTTGGCTACGCCACTGGTTGCTGCGGCAGAATTGCGGCTGGCGTCAATTCAGTCAATTCCTGTGATAGTCTGTGCTTTCGGGACGTGCCGTTTGTCGACGTCGGCCATGTGCGATGAGGATGAGGACATTTTAGGTTGACGGCGTATCTGGCCTTGCAATACTTGCAGGACATGGCCCCATCCCGTTGCCTCTTTTAACACTCATGCTGAACAGGGCAAAGGCCTCCCCCATTTTCCGCCTGTCAACCCGGTCTTCTGATTTTTGCTGCCGCGTTATACCTGCATCATTCTCATCTTCCCGCCTAATTTTCTGCCTACCTTTCAAGGCCTACCTTTCAAGGCACCGGTTGTAGCGGCTCAGTGCGCGACGCGGTGCCCTCTCCATAGGGAGAGAGTGGGCGCAAGCTGCACGCAGCCACGTGACCTCGCCCGCGTCAGAACAACACCACCTAAATGAGTTCCTGAACTTATCTAGGTGGTGTTGGTCAGAAAGCCCCACGCTGACGCGCTGCGATGGGTGCGTGTGGTCAGGCCTTCATGCGTGTGCCTTCTCTTGGAATCCTGTCTCTTAATGACAAGCGGTTATTCTACGCGCTGCGTGCCCAGTCCACGTCGATTTCTACTTAATTTCGCCTATGATGCCCTTAATCACCGTCCGTTATCTTACCCACTCTGCTCTCTTCCCGTATTTTAAATGGGCCCTGCAACACTTTTTGAGCATGGTCAGAAAAAGCTGCCAATCGGTAGTAGAGGCTCCCGAGAACACGCGAGGCAAATAATATAACGCAGCGCGCGGCCAGGAATTCGCAATAAATTGTCAAAGTCAGTTAAAAATTGCTTTTTTCTTGTCTTGAGAAATGACGGAAGACGCTCAAAGATTGCGCGTAGAAGGCCCTCTATAAGCCGTTGGCTGATTTGAACATGGCGTGCTCGGTCGGTACAGGCATCGCCAAGGGAGGCCATGACTTGTCCATGCGTGCGCGCACGATCACACGGAAAAAGCCACGTATTCGAGGAAAACAAAAGAAGAAAGTGCTCAAGGTCACGAGGCGCTCGTGAAGCATTTCCTTTGCCCCCGACATCCCTCCCTGCTTAGCTTCCTGCGCTTTCGCCTGGACGAAAGAAAAGAGAACGCGATTGCAGAGTACGACAAATCGTTGTAACTTCGCTCGTGTGGGACGGATTATTAAGATTTTTGCGGCAATAGCCTCTTTTGCGGCAATAACCGAATTCGTGAGGCAATAACCTCTTTTAGTGAATCCATTCCATGGTTACTTGAAAAAAGTGTTTCAGGGCCCCTTTAAGATTACACATATGACTTACCTTTCCATTGCTCACTTTCTTTGTAAGCCTCCATGTTTCTGCTCCCCAGATAAGTACCGGCATGATGCAGCTGTTGTACATCTTCCTCTTGAGGGATAGTGGTAAACTACCATTCGTGATTTGTAAATGGCATTATACAAAAACAAGAAGACATTGACTTAACAACCCAAGATGGCGGCGTTCGTGTGTCTAAGAAAAAATATCCTATATTGAGCTATAATGTCGCTAACCAAGCCAAGCAAGTTTCGCGTTGCAATGGGTGGGAGCAGCACGGCGGCATTGGTAATCGAGCCCGTGTGACTCGCTTCGAAGGTGCACGTTTTCACAGCTCAAGCTCAACTTTACCGTATTGCTGCGGTGCTCCGATCACCCTGGCGAGGTGTGGGCGCATAGGCGAGCTCACAAAGAATATGGGGGATCCCCCTCTCTCGATGTATACGTCTTTCCACTGCCCACATCAGCGGCCGTGACCCTGCGTTATGGCATCAGTGGGAGGACGTCGACAGGAGCAGGGGGGGGGGGGGGGGCTTGGTTAAACGTTGTTTCTTAAGATCCATTGCTCATAATGCTTCACAGATGTGTAGTGGGTACCTCGATCGTTTCTCGTCATAATGACGAATAATGGTTTAGCGCATGAGTACTTCTGCAAAACTAACATGACTTATGACAGAGTGGGTACCTTGCAAAAGCACCTGTATCAGTGTAACACAAGACACTCTACAACAGGCTCTAGAAAGATCGCTCTCCTGCAGCTTTGACTGTTGCTGTGCTGCGTTTTTCGCGGAGGCCTGCGTTTCTTTACAGCGAAAGCTGTTGCGAGATCACAAAGGTGACTTATATGTCCACCGCCGCCATCGCATGTGTCCATAAGCGCCATCGAGAAAAATGAGAAAAAAAATAAAAGAAAAATTAGGCAGATCTCACGTACCCTGGAAACCGACGTCATGCGAAGCATGCAGAGGGATGGTGACCATGCTGTAATTTTTGTTATTTAGCAAAACTTTAAGAAATGACGCCAAATAAATGTAAAACTGTTTTACGCACAGACATATGTTGAACAGTCGCACATGCTTTATATAGTTGTTTACACATGTGCAACGATGCCAACAGCAACCCGAGTATCAGCAGCACGAGAAGCTGATATGTAACGCAAGTGCTCGCGAGAATGGTAGCCCTGGACACTGCTACATAAATTAACTTCAGTGTATGGCACTCATGACTACAACTCACGTCAACCCGACGGGACGGCAGTATCAAATGTAGGAGTACATATGTAATGTTTATAAAATTATATAGTCATATTTGCACCCACAATTGACGTGTCACTAGCATTGCACCTGCACAGTCCATTTTCAAGCCCAAAGAAGTACCGAGACGTGGCGCAGTTCTGTGGTAGAATATTTGATTGTCACGCAGAATGCTTAGGTTCGATTTATGCTGGGACCCTGAGGTTCGTCATGCCAACACTGCCGATGTCAGATTTTCTTAACGCTTTCGCACTTAAATTACCAATGTTTCCGGTCGCCGTTCCTGGGTACATATAAACTGTCGATCACCTGTGGCGCATACCCGCATACCAGTAGCACATACCCGCCCATGGGTATGTGCCACTGTTTGGCAAGAAGTGTTTGACGATGTACGCGACGGGATTGTGACGTTATTCATGTCACGACCAGCGGGTCATATTTGCCAAACCATCTTACCCTTTCATACTAATTTTGGTTCACCCCAAGGTACGTAAGAGGGGGATCACGAAAAGGCCCAGACCAAGGCGGCTAGATAGATAAGAATAGATAAGATATATACGTCGATTTACGCCAAACGTGTCTGCAGTGCGCAAAAAAAAATGCTTCGCATTTAATATTCAGGGTGGTTCGAACCCGAGTCCTCTACGTGGCAGCCATTCCGGTGCTCGAAAATCCTGAGCACAAAACCCCACACAAGCATTATGTCTGGAAGAAACCACGTTCACATTTGTAATACAGCGTTATTAAAATAACAATAAGGAATCATAGAATGCGAATTGTGTAACCAGGCGTCACTCGAGACGAATTTCGTAACCAGTGGGTCGTTGAATTCCTCCAACCCATTACAGGGATCAGCCATAATTGTTTCACGTCAAATCAAGTCATGTTTATTGCATATTTCAGTTCGGTTACACGGTTAGAATAGTAC